AACCAAAAAACCCAAAATGACCGAAAGTCCCAGGGGGGAGGGAGGGGCCCCGGGTGGGGGAGGGGCCCCGTCACAACTTAAACCTCCTTTAACTTGTGACGGCATCGGGCGATGCCGGGGGTAGGAAGGGCGGGGGCGGGGACAAGCGCGGGGGGCGGGGCCACACAGGCAGCACTGCCCTTCCCCCTCTGCCTTCCCGCGGGTTTTTCCCTTTTCCGAGGTTTCGGGGAAAAGCCAGGGGGTGGGGAGGGATGAGACACGGGGGGGCGGGGCCGCCCCTGGCGCGGGGACCCTCCCCCACCCCGGGACCCTTGGCCGGGGGGGGGCTCCAGGAGGGCCTCGTGCGATGCACGTGGATGCGGGTCCCGGCCTTTGTACAGGCCCCGCCCCTGTAAAACCCACAGCCCCTGCACTGACCACGCCCACCTGCTTAGGCTCCGCCCATCCAACAGGCCACACCCATTTGTGTGCACTCATGCAAGCCCCGCCTCTCGTGGGGTCTCATCCAATCCCCGGCCCTTGTACAGGGGTGGGGCTGAGCTCACCCAATCCAGCCAGTCTGTGATCCTTCCCGCCCCTCCCATTGGTTATCAGCCCTGCCCTCATTTGCATAGCCCCACCCCCTAGACAGCAGAGCCTCGCTTCATTGGCTCAGCCCCATCCCCTTCATTTGCATGCCAGCCTCTTATTGGGCCACCCGGAGAGTGACGTCATGGCCGGGGGCAGAGGGTGGTGCTCCTTGTGTGGGCCCCGCCCCCTTTTCACAGCCTCGCCCTCTGGTGTGGCCCCGCCCCCTCATGCAAGCACCTCCCCTCACACCCCACAGGCCTTTGCCTTTCACAAGCACCCCCTTGGGATGCCCCGTGACCCCTCGTGACCCCTTGTGACACACGAGGCCCCCCAGCTCCACACGGCCCTGGGGGTGACACCCCTGTCACACCTGTACCTCTTCCTGCCCCTTTGCTGAGCCACAAACCCCCCACCCCGTGCAAACCCTCTGCTCGGGGGGTGACACGGAGACTTGCACTCCCACCCCGCCCCGCTGTGCCCACCCCTCACCCCCAACATGCCCCCTCACACAGCCCTGACTCACCTTCCACCGCGGGTTCTTCCTCTGGGGGTCCCGGGGGGGCAGTGGAGGGGGAGGGGCAGAGCAGTTAGTGCCCAGGACCCTCCTGTGTCCCCACTGTGTCCTCGTGACCCGCCCCCTCCCACCCCTGCGACCTCGGGTTGACCTTCGGGGCAGGGCAGAGCGTGTGTGTGGGGTGCACACCCCGAAGGAGAGTTTATAAATTCACACGTCCGGGGGGGGTGTTTGCACGCCCTGGTGCCGTTTGCACACCCTGCCCCATGTCCCAGGGGTGTTTGCACGCCCTGCATGGTGTCCCTGGGGGTTTGCAGCCCCCAAGAGGGGTTTGCATTCCCGGGGGGAAATCACACCCCAAGGGACGGTTGGCACGCCCTGTACACACCCATGGGGACCCCACATCACACATGGCACTGCACAAGCATCCCACAGGGGCCCTGCACCCCATAGTGCACCCCATAGCACCCTAAAGCACCCCTTGGGGGCTGCATACCCCATAGTGCACCCCACAGGGACCCAGCACCCTCTAACACAGTCCACAAGGACACAGCACCCCATAACACACCCCACAGGGCCTGTGCACCGCACAGTGCACCCCACAGCACACTCCAGGGGCTGCATCCCCTTGGCACACCCCACAGCACCCCCATGCCCCCCAGGGGTCATGTACCCCGTGGTACCCTGCAGCACTCCTAGGGCCTCCATGGTCCCCAGGGCACCCTCCATTCCCCTGTCCCTGTCCCTGTCCCTCTCCCCCCTCAAGGACGCAGAGGGAGCATCCTGTGATGCCGTGACAACCGTCGCCACGGAGACAGGCCTGAGCATCGCCATGGCAACGGGTACCCAGCCCCGGCAGCGCCATGGCAACCAGCCCTGGCAACGCGCCCGGAGGATGCTGTCACCACGGTGACACCGAGCGGTTGTCCCCGGGTCCTGGGGACGTGTGCGAGGGCGTGTTTGCACGAGGGCGGGTCCAGACGAGGGACCCCCATGCCCAGGGCATGCCCAGGGGCCACCCAGGGCACACCCAGCTGTCCCAGTCACCCCTGAGGTCACCCAGGCCTGGGTGCCTTGCACGAGGGCCCACGGGCGTGCGGGAGCAGCGGGACATGCAATGGCACGAGGGTGTGCACGTGTTGGGGATGGGTGGGGGCACCAGGGCGTGCAATTGCACCAGTAAACACGGGAGGTGACACTCTGGGGAGGGCCTGGGGGTCCCCAAACTCCTGTCAACCCCTGCCAGGGGGATCCTGACCCACCCCCCTCTCTGTGTGGTACAAGGGCACAACGATAGGCAAAGATGGGGACATGAGGACATGGAAGGACATCAGGACAGGGAGAGACACAAGGACCAGGGTGGGACACGAGGATCATGGGGGGCCATGTGTGGACATGCAACACCATAAGGGTAAGGAAGGACATCAGGACATGGGGACACACAGTGGCAGGAAGAGGTGAAGACAGGGAGTGACACCAGGAGGACACGAGGACATGGAGAAGCACACGCGTGTGCAGCCACAATGATGTGGAACATCATGGTGATGTGAAGGCATGGGGTGACACAAGGACACAGGGACAGAGGATGTGTGAACCAGGAGGACACGAGGACATGGAGCATGAGGACACCCAACACACAAAGACACTGAGAAGACAGAACTCCACAAGCGCAAAGAAAGACAGGAGAACACCGTGATAAGAGGACGCGCAACACCAGGGGAGACAGGGAGAAACAGCGTGATGAGCAGCACGAGGACACAACCAACACCATGGAGTGTGTTCAGTGCCACGAGGACACGGAGAAAGACACGTGTGGACACACGAGGACACACAACAGCAGGAAGACACAAAGACACAGAGGGACTTGGGGATACAACAACACGAGGACACAGGAACATGGAGGAACACGGTGATGCCCAATGTTGCGAAGGTGCCCAATGCGGCAAGGACATGGAGAAATACCAGGACATGGGGACCCCATCTGGTTTCACACCCACCACAGCCGCCACCCCTCCCACGACTCCCCAGCTCCCGCCTTCCCCGCGCCCTCACCTTCCTCGCAGAAGGGCCCGTGGTGGCCGGTGCCGGTGCAGTCGCAGCGGGGTTCCCCGCGGTGCAGGGCGCAGCGGCCGCCGTGGGCGCAGGGTGGGTGGTGGGTACAGCGCTCGTCACCATCGCCCCGGACCCCCTGGGCCCCCAGCAGCGCTGCCGGCGCGTCGCCCACCCGCAGGTCGGCCACCCACCCGCGGAACGGCGGCTCGTACTTGACGGTGCTGAGCGTCAGCGCTGAGAGCCGCACGTCGGGCGGGATCCCCCCGACGAACAGGTCACTGACCACGGCCATGTCGGGGCGCTTGGAGCGCACGGTGGCCGCCCGGGCCTCCCCATCCACGGCCAGCGCCGCGTGCCGCGCATGCCGGGTCAGCAGCACCGCGTGCCAGCGTCCGTCGCTGACCGGTGCCGGCGGCTCCAGCGTGGCGGGCTCAGCACAGGCAATGGCGAAGCGCAGCCGCAGCCGGCCTTCGGCCACCAGTAGCTCCAGGAAGTCACAGTTGCCGCCGTCGTCCAGGTACAGCAGCAGCGCCCGTGTCACGTTGGTCTTGAGGCGGAAGCTGAGCTGCCCCCCTGCGCCCGGCGCCCACCGCCCGTAGCGCGCCCACTGTCCTGGGGCGCCCCCAAACTCCAGCACCGACCCCCAGGCACAGGGCAGCACAAGGGACCCCAGCGTCAGCAGCACCAGCCCCAGGCGGGTGCCCGAGGGGACGTGGGGACATGGGCGGGGGGCCGTGGTGGCCCAGGTGGGTGGGGGTGGTCGATGGGACTCAGTCCCTGGATGGGTGGTGCAGCATCCCTTGGCCACAGTGTCCTGGTGGACCCTCAAGTCCAAACATGCCGTGGAGCTGTGGTTGACCTTGGTCTCTTGGGGATCCACTGGATTGGCCCTGGGGGCTTGGTGGACCTTCAAGTCTATAAGAGCCACGGAGTCTTGGTCAACCTGGCTGTCAAGGTGGTCCATGGGGTCTTGGTTGGTCTTGGGCTCTTGGGGGTCCTCGGGGGCTTGGTTGGCTACAGGGTCTTGGTGGACCCTCAAGTTTAGACACACTACAGGGTCTTCGTTAACCTTGGCCTCTACAGGGGCAGTGGGGCTTTGGTTGGCCAGGGGGTCCTGGATGACCTTGGGCTCTCGGAGGTCCTCACAGACTTGGGAGGCCATAGAGTCTTGGTGGACCTTCAAGTCTATACAAGCCATTGAGCCTTTGTTGACCTTTGAGTCCAACAGGACCATGGAGCCATCATCAACGGTGGGTTCTGGGTGGGCCGAGGGGTCCTGGTTGCCCGTGGAACCTTGATTGGCCACAGACCCCACGTGGGTCACAGGGACCCGGCTGACCTGGGTCTCCGGGTGGTCCTCAGAGCCTTGGTTGCGTGTGGAGCCTTGGGAGACCTTTGAGTCCAACAGCACCATGGAGCCATCATCAGTGCTGGGCTCTGGGTGGTCCTGGGGGTCCTGGTCACCCATGAAGCTTTGGTTGGTCACAGAGCCCAGGTGGGCCTCAGTCTCCAGGCGGTCCTGGGAGCCCTGATGGGTCATGGAGCCCAGGGGAGTCACAGAGCCCAAGTGGTCCCAAGTCTCTCGGTGGTCCTGGTTGACCAAGGAATCCCAGTTGGCCATGGAGCCTCGAGTGGCCACAGAGCCCAAGTGGGCTTTAGTCTCTTGGTGGTCCTCAGAGCCTTGATGGACCATGGAGCTGTGGTGGGTCTCAGAGCCCAGGTGGGCTTTAGTCTCTTGGTGGCCCCTGGGCATCGGGTGCCCCTCGGCATCTGGACAGGTCATGGCGCCTGGGGTGGCTGCGGAGCCTGGGCGGGTTGGGGCGGCCCTGGGGGGGCCTGGGGGGGCCCGGCCACCCCCGTCCTCTCACAGCCGCATGGGTGGCCCCGGCGGGGGCGACAGCCAGGCCGGGGGGTCCGGAGGCACCTGGAGGGGAAAGAGAGTCAGGGAGGAGGAACTTGGGGCGACTCAGGTGTCCAGGGGGGCTCCAGGTATCCAGGGGTGGGCTCAGGCATCCGCTCCCCCCCCCCCCCGCCAGTTATCAGCCCCTTAATTAACCTGGTGATTGGGGGGGGGGGAAGGGGGGTCGGTCACCGCAGCAACCCGGGCCCTGGCATTATGCAAATGAGCCCCCAGGTTATTTATAACACCCCTCATTGGCTAATGGGGCTCATTAACATGCGCCGCATAATTAGCCAATCACATTAACTGCTGCACCTGCAGGGGGGGAGGGGGGATTGACAGCGACCCCCTCCCCATGGCACCCCCCACCCCCAGTCCCAGGGGGGCCCAGGGTGAGGAGGATCCCCCCAGAGATCCCCTCAGAGACCCCATTGACCCTCCCCGTGTCTGGGCACACTCCCCCACTCCATGGGTGTCCTCGGTGTGCCCTTCCCCCCCCGGGGGTGATTAATTAATTAATTATCGATCACTGATGGTTGATAAGGGGGGGAGGGGGCACCTGGACACCTGGGTCCCCCCAGAGGGGTCTGGGGGGGCTCTGGGGAGGCTGTGAGTGAAGAAGGTGAATCCGGACACAGCACCTCCCCCGGGGGGGTTAAGGGGACTCTAGGGGGGCATCTGTAGGGAAGTCCCCCCCACTCAGCCGCTTGGGTCCCCCGAGGGGTGTCTGTGGGGGCTCGGGGGGAAAAGTGGGAGGGGGAGAGGCACCCAGACACTCATGTCCCTCGTGTCCCCCGCAGGCACCTGAAGGTCATGGGGAGGAGACAGGGCCGGGAGGAGGAGGGACAGGGGGAGAACTGTGGGGGGCGACCCCGTGTCTGGGCTGTCCCAAACCCGCCCCAGCTGCGGCCTCACACACGTGTGCTCTCACACACAGACACGCCCTTGCACATGCATGTGCCTGGGGCTGCACCTCCCACGTGTGAGCAACCCTGCCTTGCACATGCCTGTGCACGGATGCACTCACGGACACACACGTAGGCACACGCATGTGTGTACATGCACACGCATGTGTGCATGTACAACCCCACACCCGGCACACACGTGTGCACCCCCTCACTTGAACACACACCTGTGCATGCACACACACATGCTCACACACACACGTGCTCACACACACACACCTGCACACACCCCCCGTGCACACACACACACGTGCTCACACACATCACCCTTGTGCAAACACACACACACACGTGCTCACATACACACCTGCACACCCCCTCCATGCACACACACACACACACGTGCTCACACACGCACACACACAGACACCTGCTGGGTCACACACCCCCTACCTTGCACACTCTGGGTCACACCCCTCCACGTGCACCCCCTCTGCAGCCACACGCTCACACTTGTGCAGGGGACCCCTGCACACTCACCTGCACCCCCCTGCACACCCCTGTGCCCCCAGGGCAGCGTGAACACCCCACACATACCTGCACAGGCTCTCGTGCACCCCAGTTTTGTGCACACCCCTCACACCCTCCTGTGCACACCAGTGTGAATCCCCCAAACACTCACGTGCACCCCAGCTTTGTACACTCCCCAAAATGCACACGCTCGTGCACCCCAATGCAGCACTACCCCCCCCGCACATGTGTGTGACCCCAGTTTGGCACACACATGCCCTGCACACACTTATGCCCCCCACTTTGAGGTGCACACCTCCTGCACACTCAGGAGCACCCCTGTTGGCATGCACACACCCCTCAGATGTGTCTGCATGTGCACCCCACTGGAGTCTGCACCCCTCCCTGCACCCCACTTTGGGGTGCACCCCCCTGCACACTCACCTGTACCCCAGCTTGGTGCACACCCCTGAGATGCGCACACACGTGTGCACCCCAACACAGCATAACCCCCCTGCACTGACCTGCACACCTTGTGCACCCCCACACACTCCCCTGTACCCCAGGTGTGCACACCCGCTCTGCACACTCACCTGCACCCCAGGTGTGTACACACACCCCCTGCACGCTCCCCTGCACCCCACTTTGGTGCAAATGCACCACCAAACATGCTCACACACGTGTGCACCCCAATGCAGTGTGAACCCCCCTGCACACTCGTGTGCACCCCAGGTCTGCACAGGCAGGCACCCCCCAGATCCAACACACTGCCCTGCACCCCAACACAGGGTGCACCCCTTGCACACTCACCTGCACCCCAGCTTTGCACACCCCTCCCTGCACACCCATGTGTCCCCCAGTTTGGTGCACACCCCCCCCAAACACATTCACGTGCTTGTGCACCCCACTGTGGTGCACGTGCACACCCCAGACATGCACACACTCATGTTCACCCCAAGTCTGCACACACTGCCCTTGCACACTCATGTGCACCCTGTGACATGCACATACCCCCAAACATGTTCACACTCGTGTGCACCCCGCTGCTGCGTGAACACCCCCCTGCACACTCCTGTGCACCTCAGTTTAACACCCCCACACCTCTACACACGTGCACCCCAACACAGCACACCCCCTGCACACTCATGTGCACCCCAGGACTGCACCCTCCCCCTATGCAGTTGTGTGTACCCCCCCAGACATGCACACACCCATGTGCCCCCCAGTGTCACACACACGTGCCCTGTGCACCCACCTGCACCCCAACACCCCACACTCACCCCCTGCCCACCCACCTGCACCCCTGTTTCACCCCCATGCCCTGCACACGCGTGTGCACCCCCATGCAGTGCAACCCCCTGCACACCCACATGCATCCCGGGGCCGTGTGCCCCCTTTGCACGCTCACACGCTCCCTCACACTCTCATTCCCTCACACGCGTGTGCCACGCATGATGTCGCCCGTGGGGCCCGGGCCTGTCGCACACGCATGTGCTGCACACTCAGTGCAGGCCCTGCGCCCGAGGGGGGGGGCCCTGGGGATTGGGAGGGGGGTGATGAGACCCTCCCGGCAGCGAGGGGGAGGGGATGAGCTCCCCAAATCTCGTGGGGGCGGAGGGGACCCGCAGTTGGGGTGGGAGAGGAGACGATGCAGCCCCCAGACCCTGCAGTGGGGAGGGGGAGTGCTGCTCCTCCCCGGGGTGGGGAGCTGCCACCCCCCCTCAGGGCACCCCCAGACCCCGCCTGGCGATGTGCGGGCGAGATGTGACGCTCCGGTCCCCCCAGTCCCACATCCCCATCCCGCCCCCCATCCCGCATCCCCCTCCCTGAGACCCCAAAACTGTCCCCCCATTCTGGTCCCCTGACCCCCATCATCCTCCACCCTCCCCCGCATCCTCCTGTGTCCCCATACCTCACCCCAAACCTGCACCCTGCACCCCCAAACCTGCCACACCCCACTCCCCCACATCCCCCCGCATCATGGACCCCTCCGGAGCCTCCAAATATCCCCTGCATCTCCTGCAGCCTCCCCACCCGGCACCCGCACCCCCATCCCCGCTCATTCCGACCCCCGCGTCCCCATCACACCCCGCCGGCCCCCGATACCCCGGGCCCCTCGTTCTCGCCTCCGCGGCCCCCCACGGTACCTGCCCCGGGCGGTCCCGGCCGCGGCCCTGCACCCGCCGCTCCCGCCGCTCCTGCAGCCCCCGCCCGCCCCGGGCACGCGCACGGCTCCGGCTCCGCGCGCGTCCGCAATCCCCCGCAACAACCCCCGCATCGCCCCCCAAACCCCCTCCTCCCCGGCTCCGGCCCGCGCGCGCCCGCAACCCTCCCCCGCATCCCCCTCCCAAATCCCCCCGCATACCCCCCCTTTCGCACAGGGCATGGTGCGACCCCCGGCCACCCCACAGAGACCCCATAGGGACACCCATGGCTGCCCCACAGAGATCCCCGGGGGGTCCTGCATCTGCCCCACAGAGACCCCGCAGGGACCCCCACAGCTGCCCCACAGCTCCGGCCCCACGGGGGTCTCACGGCTGCCCCATAGGGACCCTCCGGGGGTCTCACAATTGCCCCACAGACACCCCGTGGTGACCTCTCCACATGATGCCCCATAGAAACCCTATAGAGACACCCCAGGATAATCAGCCCCACCCCAGCTCCCCCGAGCACCCTTCCCCAAGCTGTGCCCCGTGGGGGGCTCATTAGCCTTCATTAGCGGCAGATCCTGATGAGGGGCCCTGACTCCCCCCTCCCCCTTTCCCCCTTCATCACCGATACCCGGGGTGGGGGCGGGGCCCGGACACCTGGATTCCTCCCCCCTCACCCCCCCAGTGGACCCCACGGACAGACACACGGACACGGAGTTTATTCGCACAGTACAAGAAAGGCCCCCCCTTTCCCCCTGGGGACCCAGGTGTCTGGGACCCCCCAGTGCCCCCCCAAATCCACAGGCTGAGGTAGGTCAGGGGGGTCCAAAGCCTGCGGGACTCTGTGGAAAAGGGAAAGGGGTTGTCAGTGAGGGACCCCAGTGTCCAGGGCCCCCAGGCTGGGGGCTTCCAAGTGTCTGAGCCCCCAATTTGGAGAGACTTTGGCATCCAGGACCCCAGTTTGGGGGTCCCAGGCCCCCATTACCCATCACAGGTGGGTGTCAAAGACGCCATCCTCCAGCTCCTGCAGCTCCTCGGGGGGCTCTGGGGGAGTGAAGGGGGTCGTTTTTTGGGGGCACAGAACCCAGGGTCCCCTCAAATGGGGGGTCCAAGGGGGCCTGACTTTGGGGTCCCACCTGGGGGGCGCAACGAGGCCCGACGGGGCCAGGGCAGGGAGAGGCTGAAGGAGCGGGGCCGGGCTTTGGGGGGCCCAGGGGGTCCGGGGAGGTCCGGGGGGGCGGCGGCGACGCTCTGGGCACGACGGCGACACTCAGGACGCAGCCCCTCCCGACACCCCACGTGGCAGCGCAGGCCACAGCCTGGAGGGGCACAAGGACCCCATCACACCCAGAGCCTCCCAGAACCCTCTGTCATCTCCAGAGCCCCCCAGAACCCTCTGTCACACCCAGAGCCCCCCAGAACCCTCTGTCATCTCCAGAGCTCCCCAGAACCCCTCTCACGTCACCCAGAGCGCTCCTGGACTCTTCCATGGCACCCAGAGCCCCCCCGAACCTCCCACCACATCCAGAGACCCCCAGAACCCCCTCCTACATGAGGTTTCCTCCACAGCACTCAGAGACCCCCAAAGCACTCCCAGGGCATCCAGAGCCACCCAGATCACCCCTCAGCACCCAGAGCCCCCCCAGTTCCTCCATAACCTCCCTTTACCCCTCCCTTTGTCCCCCTGCTCACCGCTGCACTCCAGTCCGTCCTTGTGCAGCCCCCAAATCTGGGGATGGGGGGAAGGGTCAGGAGGGGCCTGTGTGAGGGGCCACTCCTCGTGCAAGGCCTCGTGCAAAGCCCCCCTGACTTACTGGGTGCACCCACCACCCTCCCCCCGTGTGAAACACTCGTGCAAAACAGGTGTGCAAGGCTGGGGGGGGGTGTGCAGGGGTGGGAGCGAGGGGTGTGCGAAGCACCAGGGGGGCCACATGTGTTGTTGTGCAAGGGCTGCACAGGGAGGGCATGGGAGTCGTGTCAGATGCACGAGGAGCATGGGGGGAGCTCAACAGGGGCGTGTAAGGGGTGCACAAAGGGTGCACAAAGGACACGAGGGGTGTGAAAGGAGCACGAGGGGTGTGAAAGGGGCACGAGGGGTGTGAAAGGGGCACGAGGGGATTGCGGGGGGGTTGTGCAAGGGACACCCGAGGTGGGGGGAAAGGACACGTGAGGGGTTCACTAGGATCCACGGGATCTCACCAGTCGCCCACAGGTCTCACAGGTGGCCGCACGCAGCCCCCGCAGCCCCCGGAAATTGTGGGGGGGCCCCGGGGAGGGCCCTTGGCTGCAGCTCAGGAAATAGGCCAGAACCTCCTCCTGGTTGAGACCCCCGTCCCTGGGGGAGCACGGGGGGGTCAGGGGGGGTCACAGGGGATCTGAGTCCCCTTGGCTGAGCCCCCCGGTCCTGGGGAGGGGCACAGGAGTCATGGAGGGTCAGAGGGGTCCCATATTTGGGGGTCCCTGGAGAGGTCCAGCAGGGTTTGGGGGTCTCAGGGGGGTTGGGGGTCTCACCTGTCCGTGTCCAGCTCCCCCAGGGGGGGCAAGTGGGGGAAGTTTTCCCTTACGATCTCAAATTCCTCACAGGAGATCCGACCATCCCCGTCCACATCGTAGTTCCGGAAAATGGACTGAGACCCCCAAAATGTCACTCTGGGGCCCCCCAGAACTCCCTAGGATCCTCACGCCCCCCCCATCCCATAACCCTCGAGGCCCCTGGAAACCCCAAACTGTCATCCCCACACCCCCTCACCCTCGAGTTCCCCCAAGCCCCCTGCTCAAGGACACTCAAACTCCTCGACCCTCCCCACATCTCTTGATCTCCTCAATTCCCCACGGCTCCCCCCAAACCACTCTCCAGCCCCCAGAGACCCCCAACCCCCAAGTCCCCAGGGCTCCCCCAAGGCCATGCTTAAGACCCTCCCGACCCCCCAGACCCCCTTGGCGCCACCACCTCCACGAGCTGCCTCGAGGCGTGGCCGCAGCCCTGCAGGATCGGGTCGGGGGGTCGGGCAGGACCCAGCTCTCGGGGGGGTTGGCAGGGGGCAGCTCCGGGGGGGGTCCTGCCTGTGGGAGAGAAGGGAGCGGGATTAGGAGGGGTCGAACCTGTGGGGGGCCTATTCCACCCCCTGCTCCCCAGTAACGACCAGTTGGCTCTATTGCACAATGACCCCCTCCGGGTTGGTCACCTCCCCAAGGTGTTGCCCTCTCCATCGCATACTGACGGCCCCCCCGCAGGTCTTTGCACACCCACCAACAAGTGTTGTCACCCTCTGCTGTGGCAGCTCCCCCCCCCGTGTTGCACACACACCCCTGGTTGCACACTCACGGCCCCCCTTGCCCCCCCTTGCACACTCACACCACCCCCATTGCAACCCTCCGTTGCACCCCCCACTTCAGACAGACTCCAACCCCGCCATGCACACCCACCCCCATTCCCCACTCGCCTCCCCTTGCCCCCCGGCCCCCTCTGAACACATCCGCCCCCGCACACTCACACTCCCTGTGTCCCCTGTGTCCCCTGGCCTCCCTCTGCCCCCCCGCCCGCCCTCACGGGGGCGCTCTGCGGGGCTCGCGCTGCAGCGACATCAGGTGGAGCTGCTCCTCGGAGGGTCCGAGCGCCAGGGACACCTGGAGGGGAGGGGGAACTGCGGGGAGTCCGGGGGAATGGGGAGTGCGGTGGGGTCTCACCTCCAGCAGGAGGAGCAGGTCGGGGTGGGGGATCCCAGGGGAGTTGGGGGGGATCAAGGTTTTTTTTGGGGGGGGTTCTTTGGGGTTTCACCTCTAGCCTGTGGAACAGGTCGGGGTGGGGTGACTGCAGGGGTGTTTTGGGGAGGGTTTTGGGTTCTCACCTCCAGCAGGCGGAGCAGGTCGGGTTGGGGAGCCCCGGGGGGTCCCTGCTCCTGCCCCGCCAACAGCACGCCTTGCAGGGCGAAGCGCGCGCGCAGCTTGTTGGGGTGGGGCGCCCTGGCCCCCCAGTCCGGCAACGCTGCCTCCAGTGACACCAGGTCCCGCAGGTGAACCCCGAGCGCCGGCACCCGGAACCCCCCCGTGCCCCCCGCGCCCCCCAGCAGCGCCCGGTACCTCCGATAGTTCCCCCGAGCCCACGGCCTCAGCAAGCTGTGCCCACAGCTGGGAGGCACCGGGGAGATTGGGGGTCACAGCGGCACACGGAGACAGAGGGGACACACAGGGACAGACAGAGAGGGGGCACAAGGACGGGGTGAACACAACAGGGACATTTTAGAACTGAGCAGAGCCTGGGGGTGACAGAACTTCCCATCCCCCAAGACCCCCAACCCCCCTGTGCCTCCCCAGGACCTCCCCCCCAGGACCTACACGTGTCCCCCAGCACGTTCCCAGGACCCCCCAGAACTCCCCCGGCCCCCTCCCGTGCCCCCTATGTGCCCCAGAGCGTCCCCAAGAACCCCTCCAGGACCCCTCTGGGACCCTCTCAAGACTCCCATGTGCCCCATTGAACTCTTCCTGTGCCCCTGAGGCACCCTCAAGACCCCTTGTATCCCTCCTGTGCCCGCCCCAAACCCCCCAGGTGACCCCAGGACCCCCACCTGGATGAGGTGGGGGGGCAGCAGAACGAGGGTCCGGCGCAGCCGCGCGATGGAGCCGTGGCCGAGACCCCCGACCACAGCCAAGAGGGAGTTGAAGTTACGGAGCTCCAGGAGGCTCTGGGGGGGTAAGGGGATTGATGGGAGGGGCTGTGGGGCAGGTGGGGAGCAGGGGCAGGGCTGTGGAACTGTGGGGCAGCCATGGGGCTGGGGGTCTCACCTGGGCCAGGAGCAGGCACTGCCCCAGGGCTGTGGGTCAGGGTTATGGGAGGGTTTATAGGGGGTCTATAGGGAGTCCACAGGGGGTCTCCGGGGGTCTCACCTGGGCCAGGAGCAGGCACTGCCCCAGGGCTGTGGGTCAGGATTATGGGAAGGGTTTATAGGGGGTCTGTAAGGGGGTCTATAGGGAGTCCACAGGGGGTCTCCGGGGGTCTCACCTGGGCCAGGAGCAGGCACTGCCCCAGCGCCGCCGCGCGCTGTGCGGCCGCCAGGGGGCGCAGAACGCGCAGCTGAACCCAGCGCGAGAGCCCGTTGGACAGCGCCACCTGGCGGCGGAGCGAGGGCGGGCAGGAGGCGCCCGCCGAGAGAGCGAAGGTGCGGATGTCGCAGAGCTGTGGGGACGGGGGGACAGGGGCGTCACACCCGCGTGTGATTGCATCGGGGGCTGGGGGACAGGGGGGTCACACCTGTGCGTGGGCACATAGGGGAGCTGGGGGGTATGGGGAGGATGGGGCCACAGAACGTCACCGAGCTGTGACATTCGGGGGACTCCCTGATTTGCCGAACACCCACATGGGCCGTGCGGGAGGGGCTGCCCGGGGTGTGACAGTGCGGGAGGTGGGTTGTCACACGGTGTCACACAGGTGTGTCACACACAGGTGTGTCACCCAGCTGTCTCACCCTAGGCGGGCGAATCCACGCAGTGTGACCAGGGGTGTGATGGGGGGTGTCGCACAAGTGACACCCAGTCACAGAGGTTTCACACAGGTATCTCCCCCAGGTGTCACCCGGGGGTCCCAGGGACTCACCCTCAGCCGGGCGAAGCCGCGGTGCTCCAGGTGTGTCAGCAGCGTCGCCAGCTCCAGCGGCTCCAGTGGCTCCAGCAGCAGTGAGAACCGGGCCCGGGGGGGCCCAAGGGGGGCCGCGGGCTTGGGACCCCCCCCGGGGACACCACCAGTGTCACCGTCGTCATCGTCACTGTTGTCAGCGTCACCCTCCTCTGGCCTGTGCATGCATAGGCTGCACATGCGTGTGCAAACAGACATGCCTCGAGCCCCCCCCGTGCCCCCTCTGCCCCCCATAGTCTTGTGTCCCCTACCCACCCCCTCCCCTGTGCCCCTAATTTCCCCATTGTACCCCCCAGTCCTCCCTCCCCACTGCACCCTCGTGTGCCCCCTGATCCCACCCTCCCATTCCTGTGCCACTCACATTTCCCCCGTCCCCGTGTCACCCCATGCCCCAGTGCCCCCCATTGCCCCCTGTGTCCCCCACGTACAGGTTGCTGAGGCCAAGGGGGGTTTTGGGGTCCCCCCCCAGCTCCGCCTCCAGTTCCCGCAGCTTCCCCAAAACCTGGGGGTCCCCGGAGAGCTCCCGCGGGAATGCCCGGATCCAGTACCTGGGGGAGGGGAAGGAGAGGGCTCAGGGAAACCACAAAAATCTGGGGGGTCCCCAACGAGGTTATGGGGTCCTCAGAGAGGGTTTGTGGCAGTCCCTGGGAGATTGTGGGGTTCCCAAAGGGGTCTGTGGAGTCCCCAGATGGGTGTTTTATGGTTCCTGGGGGAGGTTGGGGGGTCTAGGGGGGATTTAGGGTCTCTGGAGGGGGCCTGAGGGTCCCCAGGGGAGGTTACAGGTTCCCCAGAGGTGTCTGGAGGGTCCCAGAAGAGAGTTTTGGGGATCCCTGAGAGGGTTTGGGAGTCCCAACACAGTTTGGGGGTTCCCAGAGGGGGCTTGGGGATCCCAGGGGGTTTGGAGGGGCCCAGAGAGGTTTTTTTGCTTCACTCACCGGACCAAGTGGCGGATCTTGAGGCGCAGAGAGGGACCCTCGGCTGAGTCCCCTGACTCCTGCACCGTGGAGGGGTCAAGGAGCCTGTGCAGGGATTTGGGGGTTCCTAGAGGGGTCCTGGGGGGCTTGGGGGATTAGGAGGGGGTCCCTGGGGGGCTTGGGGCATCCTGGGGAATCAGGAATATTTGGAGGGGTGTCAGGGGTCCCCAGGGATTCAAGACCCTCCAGGGGTCAAAGAAAGGGATCTCAGGGGTGTCCAGTGGGGTCTCCAAGAATAAATCAGCAGCTTCCCGTGCACCTCGGCCTGGAGCAGGTACCAGGGGTGGCGTTTTGGGAGGGATCCTGTGAAGTTTGGGGGTCTTGGGGAATTTGGGGTGTCCCTGGGGTGGGGTTGGGGTCCCGGGAGGGTTCCGAAGGGTTCAGGGAGGTTTGGAGGCATTCTCGGGGGTTTGGGGTGTCCCTGGGGCAGTTTGGGGGTCCTGGAAGGTTTCTGGGGGGGCTCCGGAGGGATCCCCAAGGATATAGGCTCAGCAGCTTCCCAGCCATCTCAGCCTGGGGGAGGTACCAGGGGTGCGTCGCCAGGAAGAGCCGGACGAGTTGGGGGTCCCGAACCTTCCCCTGTGCATCTGGGGGGGCAGAGGAGTCACTCCAAAAACCCAGCAACAGCCCAACACCCCCCTGGGACCCCCAGCCTCCCCAGAACCCCCTCCAAACCCCCAAACTCTTCCCCCTAGAGCTCTCCAGATCTCAGGGACACCCCAGAGCCCAGAACCCCCCCAGACCAAACCCCTGGGACTCAGAAGATGCACAGCCCACCCCCCCACCAAGAGCCTTCAAGAACCCCCCCAAATCCCAGGGCCCTCCCAAATGCTGGGGCCCCCCAAGCACAGGAAACCCGTAAACCTCAGGGGCCCCCAAATCCAGGGGGTTCCCAAACACCGGAACCCCCCAAGCCCTGGAATCCCCCCAGACCTCGGGGACCCCTGGACCCTCAGAACCCCCCCGGACCCCCAACCCGGGGCCCCCACACCAAAGGCATCGACGCAGCCCCGCAGCAACTCATCCAGGGTGGGGGCTTGATCCAGGTCCAGGGAGCAGCTCATGGTGAGACCCAAAAACTGGGGGGATCGTGGAGGGGGATAGTGTCAGCAACAGGGACCCACCAGGACCTCCCAAAGTGGAGCTGGGGGGGCCCAAGGGGTCCCCATGTCCTGCGGGGTCTCATTTTGGGGGTCCTTGGGCACGAAGGGGCTGGCTGGGGGGGCTGGGAGGGACCTGGTGGGGACCGCTTAGGGATCCCAGTTCCCCGAGCCCCAGAAGTCCTGATTTGGAGGTCCCGGTGGGAGGGGTGTCTCTGGCTCTGGGGGTCTCGGTTTAGAAGTGCCAGACCCCCCCGTAGCCCCCCTGCCCCGGACGGGGTCTTGCACAAGCGTTTGCACAACCCTCGTGAGCGGGGCGTGGGGGGGTCCAATTTCCCCTCCCGCTCTCCCCGAGTCGCCCCTGACACCCCAATTTCCCCCTCCTGGGTCCTGCATTCTCCGATAACGCGGCCCTTCCTGAGCCCCAGTTCCGGAGCGTCCCAGTACGGGGTGGGACACACGACTGGGGGGGACTGGGAGGGACTGGGGAGACGGAGGGAAATGGGAGTGAGAGACACTGGGGGCACTGGTGAGGGGACTGGGACCACTAAAATGGGAGTATCCCGGGGCACTGGGACAGCTGGAACTGGGGGTAGTGGGAGCACTGGGACAGGGGTACCCCCGGGTACTAGAATGAGGGTAACTGGGAGGAATGGGATGGGGGTGCTGGAAAAACTGGGAGCAGTGGGACAGGGCCAGTACTGGGAGCACTGAACACACTGGGACGGTTATCTCGGGGAACTAGAACCACTGGTAGGGGGCTCTGGGGGGACACGCGGGGATCCTCCACTGCCCCCTCCCCGCCCCCGAGACCCTTCGGGGACTCCCCGACATCGCCCCCAGATACCCCAGAGTCCCCCGGGACCCCCGAGACCTTCCATCCCGGACCCACCTGCTCCGGTGGCCGCGGCCGTGGCGGGAGGACACGGGAGGGGCGGAGCCGGGATCTGGGGGGCTTGGGGTGGGTTCGGGGAGGTTTTGAGGTGCCCGGGATGGGTGGGGATGGGGGAAGTGGTTTGTGGTTAAACAGAAACGCCGTGCCAGGAGTGCCCCGGGAGGGGTGAGGAGGGTGGAGGCCCCAGAACCACCCCGGGAGGCCGGAGCCCACCAGATCCCTCCTATAAGAACCCCTTTAGACTCCCTAAATGTTGAGAGGGGAACCTAGATCCCGGGGGAGGAGACATAAAAAATCCGGAATTTCTGTAATTTCTTTATTGTCCTTACTTTAATTTCTTTAATTATTTTCTTTAATTCTTTTAATTCCTTTAATTCCTTTATTTCCTTTAATTCCTTTATTTTCCTTATTTTTAGGGGAGGGACCCCCCTAGTTCACCCAGTGATGCCGCAGGGTCCCCACTCCCCCAGTCCCCGAGGTGGAGGCAGAGGGGGACCCTCCCTTAATTAAAAATGACCAAATGAGCCCCAAATTGCCCCAAATGTCGGGGATCGCCCTGACCCCTCCCAGTAAATTTGAGGGGGCAGGATTTAGGGAGGCCAAGGGACGTGGTGGGGTCCAGGGGGGTCCCAGGTGTCTGGAGCAGTTGGGGGGAGGCGATCTGGGGGGGCTGAAGGCACACGGTGGGGTCGGGGCAGTCCCTGGGTGCGGGGGTTCAGCACTGCCCGGGCGGAGGGCTCCGGGGGGGTCCCGGGCGGGGGGAATCCCCTACTCGTCGGGGGCGGGAATGCGCTGCCGGGAGGGTTCGCAGCCCCAGATCTCCCGCGCGTACTGAGCGATCGTCCGGTCGCTCGAGAACTTCCCAGAGGCCGCGATGTTCCGGATCACGGTCCGGGTCCATTCCCGTGGGTTCTGGGGGAGGGGCCGAGGGGGTCAGGGGGGGACGGAACCCCAGAAGTACCCCCCGGAACGCCCTTGGAGCTCCCCACCCCTGCCTGTGGCTCGCAGTCCCCTCCCAGACAACCCCGAGCCCCGTGTCCAACCCTTCTCTTCCCATGGGATTTGGGAACCCCATTGTACCCCCTCCAGGGTTTTGGGGACCCCTTGGATCCCCCCACCCTCTTCTGCACCCGCTGTCCCCCTCACAAACCTCACGGACACCTGGGGAAGCCCCTGAGCCCCTTAATGCCCCCCTCATTTCTTCCAATGGGGTTTTGGGTACCCTCCATCCCCTCCCTAGGGTTTAGGGACTTCCCAAAACCCCTCTGTTCCCCCTCCAGGGTTTTGGGAACCCCCTGAAACCCCCATCACTTCCCCATGTATTTGGGGTGGTCCCTTTGGGGGTGTCACTTTGGGGGTCCCTTTTGCGGAGTCTCTTTTTTGCGGAGTCCCTTTTGGGGGGGGTCACTTTTGGGGAGGTCCCCACCTTGTAGAGGGCACTGACTTTCTCTTGGCACTTCACATACGCCTCGTAATCCGCGAACACCTTGAACCTGGGAGGAGATCGGGGGAGTCAGGGCGGGCCCAGGTGTCCAAGACCCCCCCTAGTCATGGGGGGTCTGACATCTGAAGTCCACCCCCACCTCCAACTCCCCCAGATCCCCAGAAACCGGGTCCTCCATGGCCTGGGGACCCCCCACCCAGGAGACCCCAACCCGCCGCCTCCCTCCGACAGGGCCCTGCCCCGACAGCGCCCTTGTCGCGATACTCGCGGCCCGACAGCGCCCCCTGTGGGACCTGTCGTGGTTCATGAGCATGTTGACGATGTCGCGGAACAGGTCGGGTTGGCGGGGGCTGAAGAAGCCAGAGCTGAGCTGGTCCACGGCCTGGCGGAGCTCGGGCAGGCGGTCATAGAACTCCTGGGCGCGGTACCTGGGCACAGGTGGGCACAGGGGAGAGACGGGGGGGCACAGGTGAGATACTGGGGGGGGTACGAGTGGGGTCCATGGGGGTGGGGATCCCGTGTCACCACGGGGGTACGCTGGGGTTCAGTGGGTGCCATGGGAGCTATGGGGGTTTTGTGGGATGCAGCGGGGAGACCCCCCGATCCCTCAGGACCCCCACCCCTGTCTGTCGAGCGCCTCGACGTCAGGCACCCTCATGCCGAAGATGAAGAGGTTCTCCTCGCCCGCCTCCTCCGCCATCTCCACGTTGGCCCCGTCCATGGTGCCGATGGTCAGGGCCCCGTTGAGCATGAACTTCATGTTCCCGGTGCCCGAGGCCTCCGTGCCCGCCGTGGAGATCTGCTCTGACAGGTCGGCCGCTGGGATCACTGCGGGGCAGGACACGCGGGGGTGTGTTTGGGGCAGGTGTTGGGGCTTGGGCGTGTTTTGGGGTGTGTGTCCCCCTTCTCAAGCAGGGACATCCAATGGTTCTCCAGTAACAGCCCCCCCACTGAAGTGGGGATTTGGGTGTTGAGGGTGGGTTTCAGGGGCTTGGGGGTGTTTTTGGGGTTCACGGGGTGTTTTGGGGGTTCGCTGGGGGGTTTTGGAATTCCTCACCCTTCTCAGCCAGGGACACCCGGTAGTTCTCCAGGAACAGCACCCGCAGCCGATCTCCCACCGCCGGATCCTGGTTCACCACGTCCCCAATCGCTGTCACCAGCCGGATGATCATCTTGGCCATGTGGTACCCAGGGGCTGCCTGGGGTGAGAATGGGAAGGTCAGGGGCACCCCAAAACTCGATGGGACCCCCAGAGACCCCCCCAAGCCCCCAGAGACCCCTCACATGCACCAGGACCCTCCCAAGCCCCCAGAGAGCCCCCCGAAGCTTCTCAAATTTCCACAGGACCCCTCTGAGCACCCCCAGCCCCCCAGCTGCCCCCAGGAATCCCCAAAAACCCCCTGAACTCCCCTAGGCCCCTCCCAAAACCACCCAAACTCCCCAGGCTCTTCCCTCACCTTGCCCCCAATCATGATGGTTCGGGGCACGAAGGGTTTCCCAGGGTCCTTCTTGATCCCTGAAATGGGAGAGGACCCCAAAATGGGGGGCTACAAATCAGGGAAGAGCCCCCAAATAGGGAAGGGGGTGGACACTGGGGCCCCCAGGTGGGTTCTCACTGTCCTTGGGGAGAGTCCCGCCCATTTTGGGTGGGGACTCGTGGGTGTAGGGGGTGATGTCGTGGAGACAGCTGGGGGTTCCAGGGGGCTGCCAGGGGCTGGGTCCCAGTGGGTGGTTTTTGGGGGGACTCCAGGGGGTTGTCCCGGTGTGGCAGGGTCCCAGGGAGATTTGGGGGTGCCCAGGTGTCTCCACTAATGGTTGTAGAGGATGATGATGTGGAGGCATTTGGGGTCCCTGTTGGGGTGTCTGGGGTGTCTCAGGGGGCTGTCTCTGGCTGGGGAGTCCCATGGGGGTTCAGGGTGTTTGGGGGGCAGTACTGGCTGGGTTTGGGCGTCCCTGGGAGTCCCCACTCACGGTTGTAGAGGGTGATGATGTGGAGGCAGTTGAGCAGCTGCCTCTTGTACTCGTGGATCCGCTTCACCTGAACATCAAAGAGCGAGGCGGGGTTCACCCGCACCCCCGACATCTTCTCCAGGTAGGCTGCGAACTTCACCTTGTTCTCCTGCAGGGGGGGATGACTGAGGGAGTTGGGGATGGCCAGGACCCCACAGCACCCCCTGAGCCCCCACAGCCTGACAGAGCCCCCCCAGGGCCAGTTCACCCACACCCCCGACACCTTCTCCAGGTACACCATGAACTTCATCTTGTTCTCCAGGAATGGGGAGGGGTTGCTGGGACCCTCATGGAACCTCCCAGAACCCCCTAAACCCATGGGGACCCCAAAATTTTCCCCAAGCCCCCGTTCCCCCTTACCTGCTTGACTTTGGCCACGTCACGGATGAAACTCTCATCGTCCACGAAGTCCCGGAGCCGCCGGAGCTGGTCCAGGTCGGACACGAAATCCTCCCCGATGCGCTGGGAAAGGGGAGGACCCCCAGATGAGCCCAGGTGAGTCCAGGTGAGCCTGGGTGGTCCCAAGTGGTCCCATGGAGCCCAGGTAAGCCCTCACCTGTGCGATGACCTCGGCCAGGCCGGGGTTGCACAGCACCAGCCAGCGCCTCGGGGTGATCCCATTTGTCTTGTTCTGGAACTTCTTGGGCTCCAGCTGGTAGAAATCCTTGAACCTGGATGGGGGGCAGCATATGGGATGGGGGGACATGGCAGGGACCCCAGGGATCCTCAGGGGGATCCAGAGAATCACAGAAACCCACAGAGACCCATAGGGAGATCCAGAGAGTCACAGGGACCCCCAGGGATGGGGACAGGGAGGAGGATGAAGGTGGGACAAGGAACAACAGGAAAAGGCTGAGAGGCACAACGAGATGGGAGGGTTGCACAGGGATGTGGGGGGCTGGGGGTGAGCTGGGGGAGCTGTGAGGGGTCGAGGGGGATTTGTGGGCTGTGGGGTCTGTGCACAGCATCCTTGGGAACCTGGGAGTGGATGAGGGTAGCGGAGTTGATGGTGGGACAGTCAGAAGTGGGGGCTGTGAGGGGCAAGGGGGAAGCCAAGGGGCTGTGGGATTTTGGAGTGCCGGGGGGGCCCCTACACGCTGTCCTTGAGGATCTGGGAGTGGATGGCAGCAACACCGTTGACAGCATGGGACCCCACGATGCACAGATGGGCCATGTTGATGCGTTTGACGGCGCCTTCCTCCACCAGCGACATCCGGCGCAGGCGGTCGTGGTCCCCGGGGAATGAGGCGTAGACACGCTGGGGAAAAAAGGGGGCACAGGGGGTTGGGAGGGTGCACCACGTCCTCCACTGCACCCACTGCCCTCACCGCCCCCTCTGCCCAACCCAGAGACTCAACTGTTCCAGGGGAATGAGGCATAGACACAATGGGAGGGTGGGCACAGGGGTTGGGACCCCCAACTGGCCCCACCTGCCCCAACTGGCCCCACTGTCCCCAGGTTCCCCCCACTGCTGCCCCAGGGACACCTCAGCCACCGAGGCACCCCCTTGCTCCCCACTGTCCCTCAAATGCCCCCCCCCAGTGTCCCCCAGGTGCTCCCCAAGGGCCCAGGGGTCTGGCCCCACCTGTGCCCCATCTACTCCACAAGAGCCCAGGGGTTTGAGGCCCCCTGGCCCCAGGTTCCCCTTCAAGGGTCCAGGTGCCCCCAGACCCGAGTGCCCCCACCCTCTCACTCCCAAGCCCCCCATTGCCCCCCACGCACGTCGAGGAAGCGCTGGTTGATCTCGTAGATGAGCTGCAGGTGCCGCGGCAGCAGCGACTCCAGGAGGTGGATCGGCCACCGCTCCAGGGCCTCGGGCAGCACCGTGTGGTTGGTGTAGGCACAGGTACGAACCGTGATGTTCCAGGCCTGGGGGGGACCCACAGTGACTCGCAGCCCCCCAAAACCTGCCCCACGGTTCCCCATGGCCCCCCAGCCACGGCCCCACTCCAGAGCCTCAGGCAGCACTGTGTGGTTTGTGTAGATGAGAACTGTGACGTCCTGGGCCTGGGGGGACATGGTGGGGGCACAGGGGGGACCCATAGCCCCCCATAGCATCCCACAGCCCCTAGCACACACCATCACCCTCCCACCTGGGGACACTCCTGGGGTCCCCCTGCCCCCCTTCTCTGGGGGAACACAGAGCCCGGAGGACCTGCAGCCTTCAGGGACCCCCCACCATGGGGTCCCAATGTCCCTCCCCATCGGTGCCCCTGTCCCCCACCTCATCCCAGCCCAGCCGCTCCTCATCCAGCAGGATCCGCATCAGCTCCGGGATGGCCAGGGACGGGTGGGTGTCGTTCAGCTGGATCGCGACCTGGGGGGTACAGGGGGGTCACAGGGGGCTCCAGGCAAGTTTGGGCGTGTCCCAGAGGGATCGTGGAAGGGTTGGGGTTCACCTTGTCAGGGAAGGTTTCGAAGGATGTTCTCACAGGGTCACGGCTCCCGAATTTGGCGGATTTGAAGCGCCGAATGATGTCGTGGAGTGTTGCCGCCACCACGAAGTATTCCTGCTTCAGTCTCAGCTCCTTCCCCTCGAAAAACTGAGATAACCCCCCCATAGCCCCTCTGTGAGACCCCCATACTGCCCCCCAAATCCCTCCTCCTTCAACCTCAGCTCCTTGTCCTTGAAAAAACAGGAGTAGCCCCCCCATGAGACCCCTCATAGGGACTTCCAGGACCCCCAAAGGCCTTCCCCCCCAACCCCTTACATAATCATTGGGGTACAGTATGCAGGAAATGTTCTCCACTAGGTTTGGGGGTGCCCCAAATGCTGGTGTCCCAGCACTCCCCAGACCCCTCAGAATCCATCAGGACCTCCAAGGAACCCTGTCAGCCCTCCCCAGCCCCTCACATTGTCATTGGGGTACAGCACAGGGCAGATGTTCTCTGCCAGGTTTGGGGGTGTTCCCAGCCCCCCTGGGGATCCCAGGCCCCTCTCCAGCCCCCAGGATCCCCAGGCCCCCAGCTGCCCCCCAGCCCCTCACGTTGTCGTTGGGGTACAGCACACGGGAGATGTTCTCTGCCAGGTTTCGGTCCAGCACGGCCTGGACGTACCCACCGACATTGACTGGAGAGACACGGCAGGTCGGGGGGGGGCCCGAGGTTTGGGGGCCCCCAGGGGGTTTAGGAACGGGGGGGTTTGGTGGGGAGCAAGGTGGTGTTTGACGGTGCATCCCTGCCCTGGAGGGGACATTTGGGGGTCTGGCGAACATTTCGGGGTGCAGGGAGGGGGTCCCTGGGGGAGGTTGAAGGGGGGGAACTCCAGGGGGAGATGGGGGGGCATCACTGCCCTAAGAGGGGCTTTTGGGGTACATAGAGGGGAAGAGGGAGGCAGGGAGGCTTGGGTGAGGCTTAGGGAGGGGGACAAGGGCAGTGGGGGACAATCAGGGTGTATTGGGGGTACATCAGTGCCCTGGAAGATTTGGGGAAGCATTTGGGGTGCAGGGAGGCTCTCGGAGGTAGCCCTGGGGTCCTCAGGGGGGCCTGGGGGCAGTCAGTATGGGTATTTGGGGTTCCAGGTGGTGGGCTTGGGCTGTTTTGGGGCACTCACAGTCCTTGAGGTTGAAGTCATTGGGAGCTCGGGCCGACCAGAGACGCAGAGTGTTCACTGTGTTATTGCGGTACCCGGGCACGGGGGTGTCATAGGGCACGGCCAGCACCACCTGTGTGACAGACCAGTGTGCCAGGGCCCCCCAAACACACACAACCCCCCCAAACGCAGGCAGACCCCCCCAAAACACACACAACCCCCCCTGAAACAGGGTACCCCTCTGAGCTGCAGCACAGCACCATCCTGCCCCCCTGCCTGGCCTGTGCTCCACACACACACACACACCTGTACCACACCTGTACACACCTGTGACACCCCTGCATCACACCTGTATTACAGCTGTGCACACCTGTGCCACATTTGTGTCACACTTGTGTCACACTTCTGCACACCTCTGCCCCTCACCTGCATGTCCAGCCACCTGGCCCCACGCGGGCCGTGCTCCCCTCCATTCACACACCTGTATCACACCTTTAGCACACCTGTATCACACCTGTGCCCCTCACCTGTGTGTCCAGCCACCTGGCCCCGCCCGGGCCATGCTCCACCCTCCCGTAGAACCTCACTGGGATCGTGTACTCGGGACGCGCCTTCTCCCAGGGATTCCCGTAGCGCAGCCAATCGTCGGCTTCCTCCACCTGGGGGGACACCAAAACACCTGAGACCCCCAACCCCTCCCCCGGGACCTACCAGGGACCCCATACCCCTGGTCATTGGCCCCTCCTCCACCTGGGGGACCCCAAAACCCCTGAGACACACCCCACATCAGCCTCCAGGAATTCACCAGGACGCTCAAAGCCCTGTAGCCTCCCCCAGTCCCCCACGGCCCCCCCGCACCTGCCACCCCCCTGCAATTCGCTGGTTGAAGATCCCGAACTCGTAGCGGATCCCGTATCCATAGGCAGCGAGTCCCAGGGTGGCCATGGAGTCCAGGAAACAGGCTGGGGGAGACAGGGGGTTCAGGGGTCATTGGAACAGTCAGCGACATTGGGGGTCGTCAGGGAGTCATTTGGGGTCATTGGGGGGGTCAGGGACATTGGGCATGGCAGGGGAGGTTAGGGGGGTCCCAGGGTGGCCATGGAGTCCACGAAACAGGCTGGGAGGACAGGGAGGGACAGGAACATCCCAGGAACAGGGAGTTCCCAGTGATTGGGACCATCATGGGGACAGGGATGTCACCAAGAGGGGGACATTGGGACATCCTGGTGACTGGGGGGGAGCAGGGAGATCTCGGGGACCAGGTGTCACTTAGGGGAGGACAGTGGGTGCATCCCAGGGCCATCGTGGGGACCAGGGACATCACAGGGCCCCCCCAACCCCCTGGGTCCCTGTCACCCCCCAGGATCCCTTCAGGACCTCCTCAGTGCCCCTATAATCCCCCCCTGACCTGCCAGCCGCCCCAGGCCGCCGTTTCCCAGCCCTGCATCCTCCTCGATCTCCTGCAGCTCCTCCATGTCCAGCCCCAGCTGGGAGGGAACAAGATGGGGTCAGGGGACACCTCAAAACATCCCTCTCCATGCCCCCCGCCCGTCCCTCTGTGTCCCCCTCCTCATCCCCCCACATCCTCCTCATTTCCCCTGCTTGTTCCCTCTGTGCCCCCATCCTCCCCTCCAGTCCCCCATCCTCTCCCATGTCCCCCCCAAACCCTGCTTGATCCCCTGCTGTGTCCCCCATATTCCCCCGTGTCTCCCCATTCCCTTCCGCTCCCCACAGTCCCCGCCAAATTCCCTCCCGCGGTACCCCCAGGAACAGAACCTCATCGCAGTCACTCTGCAGCCCCCGGCCCCCTCCCAGGGTCCCCGGCCCCCAGACCCCTCGATCCTCCCACCTCCCACCTGGTACAGCGCCTCATCGCAGCCGCTCTGCAGCGCCAGGTTCACCATCGTGTTGGTCAGAGTGCGCCCCATGTAGAACTCCAGGGACAGGTAATAGATGCGCTGGGGGAACACGGGGGGCAGGGGTTGAGGGGTCACGGAGGTCACGGACTCCCTCCAGCTCCAGGACACCCCCGCCACGCCGCCTCCCCCGCTATCCGGTGTCGGGATTAAATGGCAGCTGCGGGTCAGTGGGAAAGGTCAGGATAAAATTAACTGGGCGGGAGGGAACGGACTCAAAATGTACCCCGAAACCTACACTCCCAAAGATACAGCCTCTCCAAGCCTGAGAGCCCCCATACCTGACCCCCCAGACATGCACATGTCCTCCTCACATGCCCCCGAACCTGCCCCCCCAGTCTGCTCCCCCCAGACCTACAGCTGCCCCCAGACTCCCAGTGCCTTAGGGTCCTTCTCATAATAACACTGCTGCTACTCCCCCAAGGACCCCCCAGAGCCTTCCAGAACCTCCTTTCCCCCACTTTGCGGTCCTTCTCGTAGTAACACCGCTGCTACTACCACAAGGACCTCCCCAGATCCTTCCAGGCCCCCCTGGATCTCCCTAGATCTCCCCATGGCCTCCCTTTCCACTACCTTGGGGTCCTTCTCATCGTAGCACTGCCTGTGCAGCCCCCAGACCCTCTTAGGATGCCTCAGACTCCCCCTGACCTCCCCAGGATGCCTTTGACCCACCTTGGGGGTCTTTCTCATCGTAGCACTGTTGGGTGCACAGTGCCCAGAGTCCTAAGACCCCCCTCAGAAGCCCCCCCAGTCACTGCAGAACCACCCAGGACCTCTTTAGACCCCCCTTTCCTCCACTTTGAGATCCTTGTTGTAGCAGCACCTGCTGGGCGTGCAGCTCCCAGACCCCCCAGCCCACCACGAGACCCCCCAGTCCCCAAGGACCCTTCCCTAGATCTTTCCAGGCCTCCCCAGGTCCTCTCTAGACCTCCCCAGGACCCCCTTTCTCCCACCTTGGGGTCCTTCTTGTAGCAGCACTGCTAGGTGCACAGCCCCTAGACGCCTCTCAGCCCCTCCGGGACCCCCTTTTCCCCCACCTTGGGGTCCTTCTTGTAGCAGCACTGCTGGGTGCACAGCCCCTAGACGCCCCTCAGCCCCTCCGGGACCCCCTTTTCCCCCACCTTGGGGTCCTTCTCGTAGTAGTACTGCTGTGTCCGCAGCCAGCGCCCCACCAGGTGGTCGCGCACGGTGTGGGCCAGCGCGAAGTAGTAATCGCGCGGTGTCGCGACATTGCGATCCTTGACGAGAGTGAAGTGCAGGTGCCGGTTGAAGTTGCGCTTCAGTTCCGCCACATTCTCGGCCCCCGCCAGCCCCCGCACGCTGATCTGCCGCCGCCGTTCCTCGTCGGTCAGCGGTCGAGACATGATGACAGTGATGGGGGGCGCGATGTCACCGCGGAGTCGGAGGGGCTTTGAGGGGTCCCTGGGCGTCAGGGGCTGGGGGGCACCGGGATCGGGAGCCTCTGGGGAGGCTGCACCTGGCTAGGGGGTCCGGGGGGCTCCGGGTTGGGGGGGCTCCGGGCTGGAGGCGGCGGCGGCAGCGCCCCCGCCGCTATGAGCGCGTGGGTGCTTCATTATTCATGAGGGGGCGGGGCTCGTGGGAGAACGCGCCTCCATCCCTACTGTATGGCGACTCGGCTCATTAATTATTCATGAGGGACGGAGCCCTGAGCGTTGCCACGCCCCGACAGCGCCCCCTGGCGGCCCTGCCCCTTTCACGCTCCATTCATTTGCGGCGGCCGGGTCAGACAGCGCCTCCTGGCGGCCGGGTCGGGTCCGCGCAACCCGGCGACCACCCAGACCACCCAAAACCCGCCCGCGGGGCCCGGAACGTCCGGGGGAGTCCCAAATGTCCCACTGGGTCTATGTGTTTCCCCCCACGGGGGCGTCCGCACCCGCTGCCCTAGCACCCCGCCTGCCACACTCCAAAACCGCCCGGGGGGGTGTCCTGCGTGTCCCCGTGTCTGTGTGTCCGTGTCCCCGCAGGGGTGTCCGCGCCCGCCGCGGTAACCGGATCATCCCCCCTGAAGGTCAAGACATTCGCGGTGACCGCGGTGGGTGAGTGACGGCCGCAGGGGGTGGCGGGGCCAGCCCCGGCTCGGGTTTCATGGGCCTTGGGGGGGGGCAAATCGAAACCTGACCCCGGTGCGGGGGGGGGGGAAGAGAGGGCACACGCGAGACACAAGTGAGGGGGCCCAGCTGGGGGTCCCACTCCTTTATTCATACACAAAAGAAAGCGCGGGGGGCGGAAAGGGGTGGCGGCTCTACAGCAGGGGATGGGGGGCCCAGAACGAAGGGGGGTGGGGTAACACAGGACAGGGGAACCCCGAGATTCTGGAAGGGGGGCTTAGGTGGGTGCTGCTGCCCTCCCCATCGAACAGCACCCAAGTTACAGCCCCCACCCCACACCCCCGCAGTTCAGGGCCCCCCGATTTAGGGGTACAGGGTGGGGGTCAAACCAGTTCACAAGATGGTCCCGGGGAGAGGTTTGGGGGGGGGGGCCACTTGGAACAGCCAATGAGGGGAGGGGCCTCCCCAAAATCAATCAATTCATGAGGAGGAATGGAAGCTCCCAATGAGGGAACAGCCCATTTAAGGGGCAAGGGGGCTCCCCACAATGGATCAAGTCTGGGGGGTGCTCCCTATGGTCTTCTGGGTGGGCTTCCTGCAGTTCATCACTCTGAGGGGGGGCTGCCCATGGTCTTTAGAGGGCCTCCCAACAATGGATCAGTCCGGGCAGGGACTCCCCACGGTGTTTTCAGGGGGGGCTCCCCACAATGGATCAGCCCAGGCAGAGCTCCCCACAATAGATCAGTCCTGGGGGGGTGGGGGCTCCCCACAATGGATCAGTCCGGGGGCTCCTGCAGCGGCAGTGTCCAAGGCTCAGTTCTGGGGGCGGCGGGGGCGCAGGGGGCATGCCGAAGGGGGTAGGGCGGGCACCCCATGCCCATCATGGTGACGAAGTTAGAAGGGTCCATGGGGGCGGCGGAGGGGGCGCGTACATCAGGCCCCGGAGCCAGGTGGCGGTGGGGGCGGGGGCCCCAGGGGCAGCGGGGCTGCACCCGGGGGCAAAGGCACCATGGAGGGGCTGCCGGGGAGCAGGGGGCCCCGAAGAAGCCGCCCCCGCCGCACCCGCTCCCGCCTGCTGCTGCCAGGGCGGGAGGAGGCGCTGCCAGCGCTCGTGGTGGTCGTGCGTATCTGGGGGAAAAGGCTCGTTAGCACTGGTACTAATTAGCGGGACCCCAGAAGGAGAAAAATGAACAAGTCTCCCCTTCCCCAGGGGAAGGAGAAATGACCCACACCCGGGAAAAATGCCCCAAAACTCCTTGTGCCCTCCTCTCTCCCCCGGGGCCACCCTTCTCTCCCCAGCCCACCCTGGGGCCCTCCAAAAGCCTCAGGTCCCCTCTCAGTACTCACTTTGCTGCCAGGGCAAGGGGGTGCTGCTGCTGCTGAGGGCGGCGGTGGCTGCTGCTGCCAGGGAGGAGGGGGCCTGAGGGGGCGGCTGCCCACCTGGCGGGGGGCGGTGGGGGCAGCATACCCAGCGGCGGTGGCATCATACCTGGGGGGGTGGGGACGAAACTGGGGGCTCAGAGGAATTTGGGAGGTCAGAGGAGGGTGGGCAGGAGGTTCAAGGGTTTTGGGGGGGGTCCTCACCTTTTCCCTGGTGCAGGCGATAGACCCCAGAGCCCACCGGCGCATTTCCCAGGTACTGATCTTGAGGGAATGAGAGACCGTGGCCTTAGGGATGAGGGAGACACCCCCCCTAGCCCTGCAAAAACAATCTTCCCAAAATTCGCCTCCCCCCCATTGCCAAATGCCCCCTCCCCAAAACATCCCCAGGTTCAGGTCCTGCACTGTGAAACCACTGCCTGCCCTTTTACGTTCAAAATCATCCCTCCCCCAGTTTCCAGCCTTCAACCCCAAATCCCCTCCTGCTCCCCAAAAAATCCTCCCCCGTCTCCAAAACCTTCTCAGGTTGAAGATGAACAAACCCCACATCTGAGGGAGTGTCCAAACTATCTCACCCCTAAAATCCTCCCAGCCCCCTCACTCCCAAAATCTCCCCCAAATTCCCCAGCTCCTCCCAAATTCTCACCCCCCCTTCAAGAACTTTACAGTTCCCCACCCTGGGGGAGCCACTGTGCCACTGGGGGGGGTGCCAAAGCCCCCCTTTTCACCCCAAGAAAACCTTTTCCACCCTCCTCCTCCCATTTGACCACCCAGCCCCCAAACCCTCCAGCCAGGATCGTCCGTACCCATGTGGTGGGGGCCTGGGTGCCCCGGGGGGTGGGGGCCCCCCCCCATAGGGGGGTGGTGGGGCTGCATCCAGGGGGGAGGCCCATTTGGGGTGTGCTGTAGCGGGTGCCCCCCATGGCCCCCCCCCATGCTGGCCATGGGGTGGGGGAAGCTGTGGGGGCCCCCTGGCCCCCCTGGCCCCCCGTGCAGCCCATGGTAGGGGCGGTTCTCCGAGGGCGCTGAGCTCATCCAGGGGGGGCGGCTCTGTGGGAAAAGGGGGGATCACATGAGGTTGGAGGGGTCACAGGAGTCTGGCAGTCTGACAGTTCAGGGACTTTGGAGGGCTCTGAGGTGATGGAGCTCATCCAGGAGGCTGGCTCGGGAGGGCAGGAAATGGGGTTCACAAGGGTCAGGGGGCTCCAAGGGGTAGAGCTCATTGCGGGGGGTGGCTCTGTGGGGAGAAGGGGTCGGGGGATCAGGGGGTCACTCACCAGGGGGCGTTGCCCCCCATCCTGCCTGGTGGCACAGAGGCTGCTGGACAAGGGGCTGTTGGGGGTGGTTCAGGGGCAGGTTTGGGAGTTAAAGGGGGTTACTCACTGGCGGGGGCTGCCCCCCAGCCTGGCTGGCGGCACGGTGGCTGCTGGACAAGGGGCTGTTGTTGTGAGCGGCGTTGGAGCTGACGGACACGGGGGCCTCGCCCAGCTCGGCCATGAGCGACAGGTACTCCTTGTCCATGCGTGCCTTGTCCTGCGCCGACTGCGGGTCCCCGGGCCTGCAACGGGGACAGTGAGACTGGGGTGCTGCACCCCTAACACCTCTGGCTTTGGGGAGATCTCAGGGGCATCCCACAGGATTTTGAGGAGGATCTTGGGGAGGTTAGGAGTATCTCAGGTGGGTTTCAGGGGTCGGCAGAATCCCAGAGGGTTTGAGGGTGGATCTCAGGTTCTGCAGAGGGTTTGAGGAGATCTCAAGATATTTGGAGAATCTTGGTGTTTGGGGGAGTTTAGGGGGGGTCTCAGGAGATTTAGGGAGCACGTGCAGAGAATTCAGGCAGCTGGGGGGATTTCAGGTGAGCCAGAGAAGATATCAAGGGGTTTAGGACAATCTCAGGGGGGGGTTGGTGGTTTTCTGGGGTCTCAGCAGGGTTTGGGGGGATCTTAGGAAGATCTGGTGGTTTATTTTGGAGTCACCTAGCAAACTTGCAGTCAGAGGCGATGTGTCCAGCGCCGCCACACTTGGTGCACACGGTGGTGTTGGTGATGCTGCGGGTCTCAGTGCTCTGCCATGGCCGCAGAATCCTGCAGGGGACAGGGGGGTTATCTGGGGGCTTGGGGGGTTATTTGGGGTGAACTGGGGGTCTGGGACCGCCCTGACCTGTTGTCGTCCTCCCGCAGGGTCCCATTGAGCCGCGCCAGCTCCCGCAGCTGCATCTTGCGCAGATCATTCTGGTCCTCGGGGGTCTCGATGCCCTGCTTCAGGATGTTCCGGATCTGGGGGGCACAGTGGGTGTCATGGGGGGTCTGCACTGCCAAGGCCCCCCCCAGCCCTCCTAGGACACCCACGGACCTGCTCCACAGCCTTCTTGACGTTCTCCATGGTGTTGGCAGTGACCAGGGCGTGCAATGGCTCATCCTCGCCTGGCAGCATCTGCCCATCCTTGCGGCCCACCTTGCCTTCCTTCACCGAGCCCTTGCCGCGGATCATGATCTTGGCATTGCACTCCTTCTCAATGTTCTTCAGTGTGTTCCCCCTAGGAATCGGGCACGCAGAATGGGGGGGGGGTCACACGAGGACTCAGGCAAACATCCCATGGGTCCACCCACACCAGGACGCTGCAGCCCCTGCCCCAGATCATGACTTTGGCATCATACTCCCATGGTCTTCTGCGTGTTCCCCCTGGGAACAGGGCATCCCAGAATGGGGGAGATGGAGCCCACAGGCCCATTGGGGCACCCCCACCGGGCAACGGTGGGGATCCAGCAGCACATGGCTCATTAGGAGCTCAAGCTCATTAATAACACAGGGTATCATTAAGCATTCCACAAGTTATTTAGGAGACACTAAGGAGCAGGGCACAACCCAGGAAGGGGAAGGGGGTCACCCACCTGAATATTTTGGGGGATACTGAG